TGTATATATATATATATATATATATATATATATATATATACACACACACACAAGATGTGTAGTATATTGCAACAGATAAAGTATCAAAGAAAGAAAGATAATTACTGATAGTCAGTGTACATAAGATGGAGAATGCACATATATTACATATAATCTACACATACACACCACTCAGAATAAATGAAAACAGACAGCTGTATGTAGTAAATAGTTTTATCTAGTTTAGCCACTATAGGATTGATATAAAGAATCCATTATACATTTCAATAACTTCACATTTGAAAAAACTGTTATTTTCATACTGAGACAACCCTTATCAAATTTGTATATAATCCTGATAAGGTCACAAGTGCATAGAAAATTCTCACTATGAATGAATATTATCAATTAATTCTACACTAGACCTTGAATCACAAGTTTGCAGCTATAACAATACATGTGACACTAACATAAAAAGGTAGGAAGAGTTCTTCAGACCAAACAAATTTGTGGAAATCAAACAAAAAGTCATAATCTGACATTTGTATAAGTATGAAAACAACATTCAAAATTGTTGTCAAAAAATCAATGTTTAAAACAATATAGTATTCATATACCAATGAACTGTTATAAAAATTCTGATCTGAAACATGAAATAACTTCTTATTTTTTGTCAGATAACAGATGGCAGCATTGCATCAAATGTTCTATTTTTCAGCTACATGTATAAATGGTAGTGGGCATAAGGCATAACTCTTAGCAACAGAATATTTCATTAATTATTGCATCTTATATTTTAAAGAATAAAATATTAAGATAATTTCAGGATAAGAAATTTTTAACTCTATCTGCATTTAAAGTACAAGAAGCTAATTTGAATAATTTATCCTGACTTAGTTTAAAAAAAATATTGTTTTATGATTATTTTATTTAATACTAAAAATGGTTTCCAAAAAATCTGAGAAATGTTTTTCCTGCTTGTTTTCAACTGTATATTCACTTTTTCAGTTATTTCTATGCAAAACGAAAAATTAAACATATTTAAGTAAATCTGATACCCCTTTTTATCATACCTATGAGTTTTAGACAAGACTCAAAGGTAAAACCATATTTTCTTGAAGATTACTGTAGAGAAAAAGTTGGTTTATACTGATGTCTGAGAGAAGACTCTTATCCTTATAACACAGTATGGCTGTCTGCAATTTGTCCAACAGAAACTAAGGAGTTGGATTTCAGTGAGGATGATGATGACAAAACACAAGCAGTTTCTGAAGAATTGTGACTATTTTCTCTGGCCCCTTCTATGGTATTGTTACTTGCATGAAGTGTTACTGTTTCTAATGGTATTGTAGTTACACTAGTGATGTTTTGAAGATTTGGTGCTGCCTGAAGAACTATTCCTGGAATGTCAGGATTGCTCACAGCTGGTGGTGAAGCTAAAATCACTGGTTGAGAAATGTTTTGAGAGCTTACTAAATGATTTGTATTCAGAGCTTGGCCATTAGCAAACATTTGAACTCTCATGTTTTCCAAACACTTCGAATTTTGTACTTTATCATGATCTGTTCCAGTCTGTCCTGGAATGCCATTAGTTATACCTATGTGCTGTGCCACTTCAACAGATGAAAGTGAAGCTAAAGGAATACTGCTAGCTATTTGCAAAGGACTGGATGGAATATTACTGGTTGGAAAATTAATCCCAGCAACATCCAAGTGAACAGTTTGTTCTGAATTAATAGTGGGACCAATTGAATGTGAAAACAAATACTGTACATTGGGTGTGATCTGGAGCAGAGATTGCTGATTCAGACCAGAAGCTTCTGTACACTGTTGAATCACAAGCCCAGACTCTGTTGCTCTTGAAACTCTTCCTTGATTATATGGCAGCAGAGGAATGATTACAGACCCTCCACCTTCAGTTTGGACCTGACATAAGATAGTTGATCCAGACTCTAAACTACCATGTTGAACCATAACCCCATTACTTGTAACATCTGAGGTAGAACTGTCCACATGAAACACCTGAGATGGTTGAGAACTTCCTACCCATGAAGTTGTGGAAATACTTTCATGACTGTCAGAAACAGTGGAATGTGGGATCACAACGTTTGTGTCACAACACCCTTCAGGTAAAAGTGAACTTTGTGAGCAAATACAATCAGGCTGATCTTTTCTTAGATCTTCACTTGATTTGGCTTGGCTTCCCTGTATGGAAAAGTTACTAGAATTAACTGTATTTGGCATATTAAAGTTAAACTGACTTGTAATCCTTTCTCCTATAGGAGAAGCTGGTTCTTGATTTTGTTGATATGATGTTGAACTAACAGATTTCTCTTGAGATGATGACTGCTCAAGTGTAGAACTACAAGACCGAAACAATAGAGATCCATTGTTATCAGAAGCAGGAATAACAAAAACTGGTGTTCCATTACTGGAATGCATGGAGTCTTGGACTTCAACTGGCATTCCTGAGACCACACCATGAGAGAATCTTAAAGAAGGATAAGAGTTAACTGTCTGAAATTGAGGTGTTAAATTTTGACTTGTGGCTTGAGTGACAATGCAATTCTGAGGACTGAGAGATGGGTTTTGCACAACAAGAGAACCTGGTAAACTACTTGGAGAAATGCTTGTTGTTATCACATTACTTGAAGAAACCAGTGTTAAGGACGTACTAACTACAGGTACAACAGTTTGTTGAATTAAAGTTTCACAACTTCTGTGATGCCTCAAGTGACTTTGGTAAGAATCTCTTCTAGCAAAACTTGCTTCACATTTATCACATTTGAAAGTTCTGTTGCCCAAAACCTTTCCATTTTTCTGTGTTTTGGTTGAAGAAGGAGTTGTCACATGCTTTTGACCAAATGTCTTTTTACTTGAGTCTTTTTCAACTTTATCAGGGTGTTTCTTCTTTATATGGAATCGTACGTTACCTAATTATACAATAAATGAAGATTTTTTTAAACCAACTTTAAGAACATAAGTTGATATACATTAAAGAACTAAAACAAAATTTCATTCACGATGCTAACATAGTAAGGACAGATGCATCATCTACCCAAAAAAAAATATCTGTCAATGTTTTCTTTAGAGGGTAACAAACTGTTATTTATTTTGCAAAAATTTAACAACACTTTTTCTTTGTTTGTTTCAAATCACTATTAGAAGAATGTTTTAAAGATAAAAAAAAATGCACTGTCAAAACTTACTGCTAAAGCACATTTAGTGATTAATAGATTTCTGAGACAACAGTGGTTTCATGTATTAACTAATTAGTATTTAAACAAAATTGTTTATTAACAAAATTTTACTTCTCTTTGTGGCTTTTCATAATATGTAAATATGTAGTTAAAGGATAGAAAAAGAATTATTAGTGTAGATTTTGTGATGGTTCCAGTTTATGAATACTTTTACCTTTTTCCATAAAAACAAAGTTGTTATTCTTGCTATAAAGTTTAAAATTTGCTTACTCAGTAACCTCACTCAATCTTAGAATTCTTATTATTTAAAATATTAATATAAACTTCTTGGTTTAATCCATAACCACAATTATCATGCAGATATTTTCCATAATGTCATAAAATACAAAAAACTTCCATTATCATAAAACATTTTTCTAACTCAGGATTGTATGTAATTAAAAAATTATGCACACTGTTTCTCAGTGTATATTATTGAACATTCTAATAGAAAGAAACCTACATCTCACTGGTTGCACAGAGAAATAAGCAGCTAAAGCACAATATCAAAACAGAAAAAGCATAAACTACTATCTTAAAGAGTTTATATTGTAGTATAATAGGCTTTACTTAATATAGTCTCATGTCCTCATCAGTCAAACAATATTAACCTGTTACAGAGCTTCTCTTTTACAAGTGAGGTCAAGGACAGGAAATCAAATTACTTTATAATGCATTCACATGATTGGACATTTTACTCATCCCAAGTTCAACTTGTGGCCTGTGAATGACAATTCATTAGTCTTGAAACTTTCTACTTTTTCATCTGGTGTTATTAATTAAAATAGTTAATGTGTTTTTTCAGCATTATGGCCATTATTAACAGAAAAACAGTAAGAGAATGAAAGAGTAACATATCACATGAAAAACAGTAAAAACCCTATAACCTGAGAGCTTTTGAAAGGTGGACCTTTCTTCTTCAGTGGTAAACTGGGAATGTTGGTGTAACTGAATGAGTGATATATATATAAAGGGAGTTGTGTGACATCATGAAGGTCACCTAGGATTCCAGGAAGTGTTTTTGTATATATTTAATGTATTGTTGTCAAGCGTGTCTCATTTCCGGTGCAACATGGCTGGAAATGAAAGCTCTCTCGTTATAGGGTATTTATTGTTTTATATTAAGACTTCTTGAACCTATGCATTTTCCTTACATCATAAAGATATCACATGAAAAAGTAGTAAAGCCAGACAATTCAAATGGTAAAGCACCAGCCCGACTGGCTTGAGTTCCCAGGTTTCAAACCTAGTGATATAGCTATTATTTATTTGTTTAAAAATATTAGGTCATCAAGAAATTAATGTCGCTTTTTGTAGATGAAAAACTCAAAGAACTTATACATCAAAACAAAACATTTATTGAATGAAATAGTCTCCATTCTTATCGATGATGCTTTTCCATTTTATAATCAGGTCATAAATGCTCTGATTAAAGAAATAATTTGGCTTTGAAGCAAAAAACATGTCGATGTCCTCTTT